CAAGCAGGTAAACCTTGATAGGACCGTACTTGCGCACGATCTGCTAAACCAGTTTTTCCGTACCTAGAGTGTGGACTTGCTCTTTAGAAATAAGTCGTCCCACACGTTACCGGGTCGCGGCTTTTACTGCGACAGGACTAGATGCACGGCCATTCTGAACCACAACGGCAAGTTTTTTGTATCTGGCACCAGAAGTGGAGATGGGTTCACGTGGATCAGGTGTGAGCGTGTATTTTATGTAAGTTACTACGTATTCCCTTACATTTTGATTGGCATCTTTAAGTGGCGGCTTGACGCACTTGAGGATGCTGTTCGCGTATGAGGGGAGATTGGCAACGTAGTCCTGGCTGGCAACTTCAACTCCAAGGCCATCGCTTTGACGGAGCCAAGAATCGACATTAGAAGGCGGGAGATGCTAAAGATAGCCGCAAAGCTAAATATCACCGTTATGAACTCTGGTAGTTTAGCAACTTTTAAAACCAACCCGGAAATAGAGGCACGATCATCGACCTTACACTGGCGTCATTTTTAAATGGCGGCGTGGGTGTCTGACTAGCAGTTTTCGGAGGACTACACGGCTAGTTACTACCAGTATGTTAGCTTTATGGTAAACGTGGGCCATAGTTCAAGCTTGCGAGAAGCACCTTGAAGGCACGCCACCGGGTGGAACGTGGCGAAGCTTAATCAAGATTCGTTGCAGAAGGCCATGGTGAGCGCACCCCCTGTTGCCGATTTAAACAAGAACACTAATCAAGCGGAGGTCAGAACTCTCATAAGCAGCACCATGAGATTTTTCAAAGAGTGGCGTGACGCGTGTATGCCCAAAAGAACCACCAGGCGGGGCCAGCGTTCGTGGTATTGGTAGACCAAAGGAATTTCCAACCTGCCCGGGGAGGCGCAGCGCCTACACCGTCTTGCGCAGCGACACAGAAATCGTGAAAACGTGCAGGTGTCTGTCACCGCTTACAGGGAAGCAAAAAGTGTCTTGGTACGGGCGATCAAAGTAAGCAAGAACCAATGCTGGCACGAGCTTATCGCTGAGGTGGATGGAGATACATGGGACCTGGGTTACCGGATCGCGCTAAAAAGACAACGCTGATCGGACCAGGTGGCGCCAATGAAGCCTTCCTTCTTGGAGAGGGTGGTTTCTTATCTTTTTCCAGAGCATCTTGAGAGGAGGTGGAAGGACATAAGTGTAGACAAGGTGCCTCTCTTCACTTTCAACGAATTGAGGTTGGTTGCTTCGAAGACGCCAGGCCGCAATGCCTCGGATCCAGACGGGGTACCGTCTAAAGTCTTCAAGATCATAACTGCAGAAAAGCCACGTGTGTTGCTTTACATGTTTAATGAGTCGCTGGGCGTCAGACTGTTCAACAAACAGTAGAATATTCAAAGGCTAGTCTTTTTGGACAAGGGTAAACCATTTCGTTTGGTTTCATCGTTGCTCTAACCTTTAGACACGCTGGATGATTCCGAAAAACTGCTCAAGGGGCTGATACGAACTCGTTTAAGAGAGATAGTCAGTTTTTCGGAAAGTCAGTAACGGTTTCGAAGGGGACGTTTGACGGTCATGGCTGTGGCCGAGGTTCTTGAGTCAGTGAGGGAAGCATGGAAGCCCTCACGTAAAACGAGGAGTGCCTGTGTCCTGGTGACTCTCGACTAAAGAAATGCCTGTTACTCAGCTAAATGGTCCGATATAAAAAGGGCCTCAAGGCGCCAGAATGTACCAGACTACTTTAGAAAGATACTAGACAGCTATCTCCACGATCGAGTATTCCGGTACAACACAGAGGACGGACCAAAAGAGAGGCGTCTGACGTCCGGAGTCACACAGGGATCTACCCTTGGCCCCGACCTATGGTATCTGGTCCATGATGAACTCCTGTGCCTTGAAATACTTCCGCCTTGCTGATGGCATAGCACTGCACGTCACAGCAAGATCCCGAGAGGAGGTTGAGCACAAAATTCGGTGGGTAGTCGTGATAGTGTCAGGGTGGCTTCAGGATCATGGTTTCGAACTAGCGATCGACAAGACAGAGATGGTCGTCCTTACCAGGCAAAGATGGTTCTGAGAGAACGTTGCGGGTGAGGCAATGTGCGCAAGTCCAATTATGCGCTACCTGGAAGTATGGATCGACTCACGGCTCACCATCAGGGAGCACATCAAGAGAGCAGCCATTAAAGCTGTTAAGATTGCGGGAGCGCTTATACGGTTAATGCCGAAAGTTGGAGGCTAGAAAGAGGCCAAAATACGGCTTTTGGCGTCAGTCTTCAACTGAATACTGCTCTACGGCACGGAGGTGTGGGCGTATGCACTAGCAAGACAGGACGTACAAGAGCGCCTTACTTCGGTGCAGCGCATCACTTCTCTGAGAATCGCTTGCACCTACCGCTCGGTCTCCTCCGCTGCCGTTATGATGATAGTTAGAACGATAGCCGTCGTGTTACTTACGCTGGAGTGGCGAAGAAAATTGCTCAGCTCCAGCGGCCAAAGTGATGGCGACACGTGGGAGAAAACGTTGACGATGTGGCAACAGGAGTGAGATCAGGCTGGGATGGGTAGATAGACGTACCGTCTAATATCAAACCTGTGACCGTGGGTGGAGAGAGTACACGGAGAGGTGAGCTTTTACCCTACCCAATTTCTCTCCAGGCAGGGTCAGTTCAACGCCTATCTCCATTGCATGGTGGTGATAGCATTCCCTAGATGCGCTTACTGCCCCGTGTTGAATGATACAGTCGAACACACGTTTTTCATGTGCGAGAGATGGCACCGTGAGTCTCAGCAGCTGGTAGATATGCTCGGCGCAGCACCCTATCTCTGAGACTTGATACCGAAGAGAGGTAGAGCCTAACAGAGAATCTATCAAAAATTTATATGGATAATCTATGTGTACATACGCTTAAAAAGTTGTAAGAAGTCGAGTGCCTATATCATACATTTTTTTTATAAGGGTGAGCGCGCATCCTATTTTTGTGGCACTTGACACTTTAGAAAGGGACAGTAAAAAGGATATTTGAATCAAAGAAAGTAGAAATTGGTGTATTGTCTAAGTCCTGACAAGACATCTACAATCTATGTGGATGTCTGTATGGATTTTGTTTCAAAACGCCATATGGAAATCCACTTGGATTTTTCGTATGAAATTCCATACAGATCTTTTTAAGAGGGAAGGCTGTGGATTGCTTCATTGAGTCTGTTGTCCATCGAAAAAAAAAAAAAAAAAAAGAGAGAGCCATCACGCAGGATGCGAGAACCGCTGATTAGGTCTTGTAAGGCAAAAAGGCTTTGACAGTAGGTGAAGTTTAACGTGAACACAGGCTGCGCTGAGTACATTTACTTAACAGCAAGGGAAAGTACAAGCATATAGTGGCGACTGTAAAAAGTGCAGCCTACTAAGAAGCTCTCGACACGGATCCCAATCTTCAGGGACCCTGAGTCCTTTTTAGGACTCGAGGGGACTGGCACCCTTAGCAGCTGGTAGCGAGCTTGATTGCTAATGTTGTGAGATATAATGATCTTCCTGGTGGCTCCACCCTGAAGTGATGCTAACGCGGCGGTGGAGGGAAACTAAAGCCATGCGTCATGGGGGGAAGAGTTTAGTGGGTATAAGTGGGCTAACAGAAGAATTTCTACTAAGTCCCATACTACTACTATCCCTGTGGTAACCCTCAATAACGCTGCCAGTACCTAAAAATTTCTGATAAGTACCGTTAGGGTGGCTGTTTATAACCAGTTTAGTACCTGGAAAGTGCCACCTAAGTATTCACCAGATACTTACTAAGTGCCTATTTACCCAGTTACTTATGTGCCAAGTACCAACCAAGTATCTGCCTAGCATCTTAGAAGTACCATGCCTTACGCTTACTACTCGTTGGGTTAACATTTAATTTTACGTAAGTAAATTCTTTTCAAGCATTCGTCAGATATTTTGTTAGCTATCAAAAAGTGCTATTAATTTTTTACCAAGTGCCTATGAATTTCCTGACAAGTTTTTCTTGTACCAATGAAGTGCCCACTTAGGTCTCGCAATGTCGTGGGTTTGTAGTTACATACAATTTCTGTTGAAATGTCACTTAACTTTCTCTTAATATAAGTACTGATAAAGTGTAGCTAGATACTTTTCAAAGTTTCTGTAATCTACTACCTCTAAAACTAACCAACACTTGTTAAATTAAGTTAAGTTGGCCTGTAAGTTAGCACTTGTTAAATTCATAAGTCACTATGATTGCTTACTTACACCAGGAAGACGACTTTTATCTTGTGGCTAAGTGGATAACGTTACGAAGTATTAAGCACACATTTAGAGCTTAAAATTTAAATGTACCTTTAACCACTTCCAACTTTTTGTATATTTGACGAAATAAAAATTTTTCGTTGTCAAAGGTACCAATGCTTACTCATTATAAGATCAGTAGAATAAAACACAGTGTATGAGCTAGTGAAATTCTACTGACAAGAGTGTCACTACCCATTCTGAGAAAGCAACACGTATCAGTAACTTGACATGAAAAACACATATCAGCATTTATCCATTAATGTTGTGCTTTGCGGAATCAAGAGCAACCAGAAAAGATTTCTAAATGAACCAAAATTGTGCAATCTTAAAATGAAAGGCTTTTTTAAAAATATTTTTTGATTCAAGATTTCTTGCTTTACACGATGTGGATCACTATTATAGTATTTTTAAATGACTTGGTTTTTGTTTGAATTAAGATTAATTAATATAATCAAACAGTATTTATTAAAAAACTGACTTGTGATGCTTATTTCTCTATAACCGAGAACAGTTACACTACTTGCAAAAGTAATATATTGTAAAAATTAAAATTTTGTTAATGTTTGTAAAACTGTTTATAATAATTTGGCCATGTTACATATAACATGGAGGTGGGTGAAAAATAGTTAATAAATACACCACCGAAGTTATAGAACAACATAAAATAATTCTTGTATAACAGATAAAAAAAAATTTCATACAGAAAAAATTTAAGGTACATCAGTAAACTTCTACCTGAACATATCCTGAAGCTGGATGTCTAATGGCCCATATATACAGTATTCTTTCAAAAATTATTTGAACAGTTGATTGTTGAAAAATAGAAATAAGGGGTGACATTCGTGGTATATCTATATGAATTTGTCTATATGTATCTTGAAATCCTTCGTCTCTTTCTGTGTCGTAGTACTGTTTTACTAAGTTCCAATAGTCTAAGCGTTTTCGTTCCAGTACATGTTGCCTACGTTTAAAACTTGCTGGTAGGTACTCCTAAAATATTTTTAAATATAACTAGTGATTACCTACCTTATAATGTCAGAAGTTTATTTAACTTACAGATAACAGCCTCCATGTAATTGAACGTAACTTTGCAGGTATACCAGACCATGATAACTGTCTTAAATCATCAAGATTGAGTAATGACGTTTCTACGAGTGCTTTAAATTTATCAATTTTACTTTCTCCATCTAAAGAAAAAAAAAATTTTTGACAGTGCTTATACTTAAAAAGTTCGATAAAATCAATGATGAATAATTGAAATATTGATAAAATAGATTTTTTAACAAAATAGTCAATCTTCACTTTATTTTAGAAAACGTTACGGCCGTTTCGATATTTCAGTATCTTTTCCAGACGTATATGTAGTAAGACGTACACAGCGCTTGTATTCTAAATATACACACTTATAATCACAGTTTAACAAAAATTAAGAAATTACGTACAAAAACGTACGTAGTCACCACAAGTATATTCAGTACAGTACATGTTTAGTAAAGGTAAACTATGAAGATTAAATATATCATTTAATAAAATGTCCGGATTATTTGATTTATTAATCTTTAATATAATGTAATAATTAAGTTATTTAATAACCAGCGTAGATAGACAATTGGATATAATAATTAGAACGAGAAAACAATCAAAAAATTAATTCGTTGATTAAACACTACACAGAATGAACGATAAACTAGAATACAGTGTTTTTCATAAATCTACCCAGTCAGACACAACTATACATAATTATTATATCCATGCATATCCACATAAAATGTCTGCCTACTACAATTACATCTATGGACTTCCTTCCATACCTTTAAACACTGAAAATTATAGTAAAGAATTGAACGTTATCGAACAAATAGCATACAATAATGGCTACAATTCTACCGTTATTAATAATATAGTTAAAATTTTTCTTGCCCCTAAGCAAAGAAAATTTTTTTGTTATCACGTACAATGGAGAACTAATTCAAAAAATAAAAAAGCTTTAAAAAAAAATTTTTTTTCATCAGCTATTCTGACGAGCGCAAGCGGTGCGTTTAACATTGCTCTACATATATAGAATATTGTCATTTGCATACTAAAAATACCACCTCAGATTTTATTGTAATATTCATCACTTACCCAGCAATGAGGATACCCTTATTTTACATGGCTTCCGAACTATCGGACCACAATTAGAAAAACATACGAAAGAAATTAGTTTCTCAGAGGTACGAGCTAAGTGAGTAAAAGCCAAATCTCGAATTTGGGAGCATGAGCTACCAAGCCCTAAGCTACAATAATTGTAGCTTAAGCCACTGTTCTACCGTGGCTGCTATGCGAACTATTTAATTGAGTGTGAACGTATTTATATTAAAAATTTCAAAACTCTATACACAAGTAATAAAACTAATAAATTGAACTTATTAACAGCATCAGAGATTGACAAATTGAAAAATTCAGATATTTCACTGAATGATATAATAAACCTTGATTGTTTACTTTTACTTAATATGTATTGTATTAAAACTACTTATTATGGCTATGTACGTTTTCATATGTTATTTTTCCGTTGCTGTTGAGCTGTGGTTATAAATATGTATATTTATAATATAAGCACTGTGCATTACTTAGGTTAGACGTACACACATGTCTAAAGATAATGTGATACCGAAACGGCCGTAATGTTTTCAAAAACGATTAAAGTGAAGATCAGTTATTTTATTAAAAAGTCCATTTATTCAATCAACCTGGTATGGATCTTTATCAAGTGACGACCAATACTATTATTTAACTGAAAAATTGTTTTAAAGAGGTAACAAAAGTATTATTTACCTTGCCCCTTTGACGGTATAAAAAATTTTCCACTTGTGTTGGGTTGCCGTAAAGGTTGAGGCCTTCCAGGATATTGCACGTAACGATGGTGACATACGTTTGGTAATGTTATAGTTTTATTCACTTTATCGATACTCAAATTTTGTTTCAGAATATTCGTACTCAAGTTTGTACTATTTGTGTAATGAGGTTGAGCAGCTGGTTTTTGTAGCACTTCTGTTTTCTTTTCTTTATAAGCTGTTCCATAATGATTATTTTCTCTGTTAGTAGTTTGGGGTGATGCATCTATTGTGCTTGAACGATGGTGATTAATCACATTCAAGGCTGCTGACTCACTAACTTTCTTAGATATTTTAATGTCTGAAACCAAACAAAACTCATCATCTCCTAAGTCCCAGGCATCATTAATACTTTCTTGAAAATCTTGAAAAGATGCTGGACCACCACTAACTATTCTAGTGCATCCTGGATTTGCATATGTATTTCCAATGAAATTTTTTTCATCTTCATAATCTTGCTTCAAACTAAGCCTAAAACATATAATTAAGAAATTGATGGAGAGTTTAAACTGTTAAAATAGAAAACTGGCTGAGTGAGAGAAAACTGGAAAGTAAAGTGCCAGTTACATTACATTAAATGGTTATTCTACTGATCTACTTCAGAGAAGTTTGACAATTTAAGGTTATTAAAATATGATTGATGTTCAACTATGATTTTATTACTTTCCAGAACATTAAAGGACGTAATGGTATTTATAATGATTTAACACTAGAATAATAATCACAAATTTTTATGTATGTCAAATTTACCTGCCTGGAACAGCTTGAGAACTTTTTTTCCAAAATGATTGATGACTTTGAAGCATTTGATGTAGATGACTTTGATTATCCATACTATAAACTTTTCCTTAAGCTTAAAAAATTTAAGAGTATGATATTATTTCAGTCAATAAAAGAATTATTCAATTCTAAATAAAGTGTTACAAATAAAATATAAAATTACAGTAAAATACATCGTCTTATCATAAAACAAAAAAAAAATGATCGTATACAGTGAGCTTAAAAAGAATTATTTTCATTACAAGTAGAGTACTGATGTGTAATGTTAGCAATTGTGATAAAACCAAAGATCATACAAATTTTGCCATAACAAGAGTCATTTGAATCGTTAGTGTGAATAAACTTATGATAATTTAGAAAAAACTACTAAAAATACAAAAGCGTACGTGGACGGGATCCTTAATGAATTCGTCTCCTTTTCTGTTGAATATTAAAAAGAAAACTATTTTGGATGTAAATTAACAAAAAAACAAGAGTAATTAAACACAACAAAATAGTTATTCTTGCGAGTTCAAGTGACCACATATGAGCATATTTTCAAAAAGTGTGCGTTATCAAAAGCTGAACCTCATTTTACCTGATAAATCAGTCACTAAATATAAGGACTCACACACATACCGATTGATTAAGCAAGGTTGCACAAACATTGAAGCTACATTGTGTTGTCAAAATAAATGTATAAACTCTTCATATATACATATGTATGTACGTGTGTGTGTGTATATCCTAAAATGAGAAAAACTTGCCAAAAAAAAGGAAAGAAATAAAAATTCTTCTAATTAGTACTTTCATCATAGCTCTCATGGAATACGTTCATTCTTCAGCGGAAGAAATATCACTTTTTGATATTAAAAAGGTTCGGTCGTTTTTCCCAAGGGGGTGAGCGGGGGCTCCCATTAGACACCGTGTTAAAGTGAATTGTACTAACCGTGAATGAAAACGTCTGCCTACTAGATCACGGTTAATTTAACTGCGTTAAACTCATCAGTGCTCAAAAGTTAAACCATTAAATGTTATGAACAAATTACGGTACATACTTTAAAGCAGCTTGTTTCCGATAGTTCGAGTAAAAAAACTTGAAAACATGTTGTTCACATGATAAAAAATGACGTAAAAAAAGTAAGAGGATACTTAACTTTTGTAAACAAAAGTATGTTATAAATTTTCAAAAAACCAACTTTTTAGCACAGCATTATAGTTTGAAGTCTTAAGAAAGGCTGGGCCAAGTTTCAGATCATGATTTCCAGTTCAACAAATTCTAAAAGTAATTTTGTGAAGACTTCTTGCTCCGTATGACAAAACCAGCTAACAGCAGACGATGATCGGTTCTCTCCCATACACTTAGCATAAGACCTGCTCGCAACTTTGTTTACATTTAAACAGATATTTTTTTCAAATGCCTGATAAGGTGCACATTTTTTGATACGAGAGTCTTCTTTAGAAATTAAGCTATCTATTTAAACTTTTTTCTCATCATGAATACATATCTAGCCTCGAAATTTGTGCTACAAAGGCTGAATAATGGCTCTCGCCCATGAGAGCTATGTTAAATCATACAATTTCGGGAATTATTTTCTTGAAAATTCGGCTGATAAAAAATATTCAAAAAATTGATATATACTTCCAGCATGTTAAAGTACAACATTTATTTTTTACAGCGAATGAATAAATCTCCTGAAAAACGACCAAACCTTCTTAACAACTTGTTGAACATATTAAACAACTCAAGGGAAAAATTAATGGTCCGTAGATTAAATACCATCATTTTTAGTTTAATTACACGAATGAAAAGTCAACAAGACGTTTAGAAAAACACACATTTGAAAACTAATATTGCTCGTTGGATATCTGATCTCCCATAAGTATGCAAGATAATTAAATTAACCATTTGATTTAATTATATTATTTTTATTCTTTAACAATCACGTTAGGTTTTTAAAAAATGTCAACGCCTTTTTTCTTGTGTTTGTATTACACCTTACAGATCATGTTTTATAGTAAAACGAATTTTTTTAAATATTTGCAACATAATAATCTAAAAACTTTTGATTCAGTGTGTCGAGAAAAGACGAGCTGTCTGAGAAAACTAGAGACAGTTGATGGAGGATGGTAAAAATCAGTTTATTACTTCACATAAAGTTCTTTGAAAATAATTGATAAACAGTTCTCTCTGTTTCTTTCACTTTTTTTCTGGCACACTGTAGCCAAATGTTGCGTCGTATGTACTGCTCTTCTCCACGCCTTCAAATAAAATAGTCTATGTTTAAAAAGCCACCCGCATCTAGCATTTTATTCACTGCTAAAAACCACAAATTTTCTGCCCTGCTAGTTTTTTATTTAATGCACAGCATTATACACACCTTAATAAGGCTCATTTTATATGTTTATCATATATGTGTGAGTTGCTATGCAAAATACTTTAAGTCCAAGCAATTGATTGATAAAAAGACAAGGTAAAGAGACGCAGTGTTGACGATTGTCACTGTTGTACGTCACCGTTGTGCCTGATACACCTTAGGTTTATTCTCCTGAAACGTGCGGTTTGCACAGGAGTTTTTCCATTCTACAGGGAGAACTATAAGCACAACATCAGCAAATACCTTCAATCAAGTATTTATTTAATTACTTAACACCTAATAAATAGTACCTCTGTACGCTATGAGCTCTGTACTACATTACACTTCACGTCGTCATTTGGATTGCGCTGTAGTGACTGGGCCTCACACCAAGCCACAAGCGCACGTCTTTTTTCTCCAGAACCAAGAAGCATTTTGGCTTGTCCTAATCTCACACTAATATACACACATTCGCACTATGTCCACAATCCGACGCTACTTTACTTTACTGATCATCTCTCTTTCTCTCTCTCTCTCAGCCTACTCTGCCATGCTCGATCTTGCTCTCTATACTCACACTCTCTTTCACTCTCTTTCTCTTTCTCAACATTACCTATACATCTCTTCTCTCTGTCCTCACACATACATACACGGAACACGCGAACTTTAATAACAGAACTCGCAAAGTGCAAACCCGAGCATGCACTTTGCGGTCTTTCCTACACCTCCTCGTATCGCAGACGCGATGACGTCCAGGATCCTTAAACTGGTCATTCGTCCTACGGTTTCGTTTTTTTTTACTCTTTTCCCCTTATCCTAGCCACTTCCATCGTCCTCGACCTGAAAATCTCATCTTAGAAGAATACAGTAGCTGCGGGACTCACGCACACACTTCCTTTTCTCATGCTCTCTCTTAATCTTTCCTAACACTCTACGCACATTTTTTTATCATTCTATTAACTCTCTCTCTCTCTCTCTCAATCGCTTCTCTAACACGTGCCCTGGACTAACTCTAGAAAATGCCGGAACTTCCGCTGCTCGCACTTGAGCGCTTAGCTTGAGTCTGACTCTAAAAGCAAGCTCTCGTTTTCAGCCATGGCCAATATTGCTGCTGATACCACGTATTTTCTCTCGCAGTTACTCTCGACACAACAGCTACTGTGTATATGCAGGTATGCCAAGTATATCTTATCATTTTCTTGTCTTCTCTCGCTGGCACTACCATATAGCTGCGGCCTAATTGATTTGCCGTTTTTGTCCTCTTTTTCTCCTTTCAGAATATATAGCTGCATTTGAAAAATAAACAAAGTCGGAGAAGCATGTAAGTTACACTTTCTGTATATACGTTATATTAGCGAGAGCGTTTTGGGCAGAGAAGCTATTTTTGCGTGGTTACAAGCATTTCACCATGAAATAAACGCACGTTTATTTCTCTTATTGTGAGGGGACTTCAGCCAAGCGCAACTACGAGGGAATCTCTCTTCTTGGTTCACGCTAATCGCATGACAAATATACACTCACAAGGTGATTGTCCACTAAAGGGGTCAAAAGAGTTCGAAAACAGTTCTACTAACAATAAAAGATTCTTGTTGGATTATATTAAATTTTAACTGAATCAAAAATTTTTTTGCAAACTTATTTGTCGAAATAAGGACATAATTAACTTAAGACTCCTAAATTGTGCATTCGCATACATATAGGGGAACGTGGGGCGGAGGTGGGTATAGCCGATAAAATGGGCAAGCAAATATTTAAAAATAAAAACATATTTTTAGCTGAATCCTCTTTAATATACATATACAACATCAATAGTTTCTCCATCCAAACTAATTTACCAGACTAAAAGCTTTTTTTTTTACTACGAGCTGATTTAATTCTTAGTCGAAGATAACCTACTAAAAAAAAATTTTTAATCACTTGGCAAATTTATTATATATGACCTACATAATTATCCATGATATTATTCGAAAGCTTAGATCTTTAACTTTGACAGGCTATTTTTTTTATTATTTTTTTTACTTGTAATAAAAGAGTTATTAATAAATAAAAAATATGTGTTGCGAGGGTGGGAATGGGCACCAAGGTGGGGCGCAAATGGGCCCGAGCAAGAAAGCAGTTCCGCATCGAGCGTCTGCTATTTGTAGGTATAGGTATACCAGTTGTATGTGGTTAGCTGTCAGCTGTCATACTTTATAGGTTAGGCTATTTATTTTTATTTTTGTTGATTTTTTATGTAGTTTTTCAAATAGTTTATAAAGTAAGAGTAATGGTTCGAAACTATTGTTCAAAGAGCACAAAGCGTTCTTGGACTGATGGTGATGTGGAAATTGCCATTAAACGCATCAACAATGGAAAATCCATTAAAAGTTGTGCAGCTGAACTTGGAATTCCCAGAAGCACTTTGCAAAGAAAGTACCAAGAGTCATCTAAGCCCTTTTCCAATGTTAAAAGTAAATAGTTTATTTAAAAAATAATAAATACACAGAGGTGAATTTAAACTTATATTTGTACAGCAGTGACTAGATTCACAACTGTTTTTTCTGCTGAGCAAGAGACAGCTTTAAAAGAACACATTTGTGATATGCAACGAAGAATGATGGGCCCCTCATCGTACGATGTTAGGAAACTGGCTTTCGATTTTGCCACTCATCTACAAGTACCTAACAAATTTGATCGTGCTGCAGGTAATACGTACAATAATATGTGTTTATTTACATGTTTAGGTCCAAGATTACCT